CCATCCATGGCTAGACAATAGAACGTGGTGCTGCACATGGATCGTTAGGACCTGAAAAGAGGGCCCAAACTGAAGGACCATAACCTTTTAAGTCATTGGGTCCGGTTTGGTGGTACATTTTTAGACGGGCTGCATTGCATAAACTGCAGCATAATAATTGTTCCACATTGAAATGACCAGGCAAGAAAGGAAGAGTTTTCCATCTTTGATAACAAATAGGAGGTGTTTTGAATAAATGGATAAATGATCATCGTGATGATAGGATAATCGGATTATAATTTCAGGAGTAAAACAATTAACATTTAAACTCTGGTGATAAAATTTGTTAGTGATTAAACAGTTCATCACAAGGATTTGATTCTTAATTTTTTTTTTTTTTTTTTTTAAACCATGGTAGATATATTCCGAAGATTCTATCACCACATGCGCTATTTATATAATTAGACCTTTGTTTAAACAATTGATTTGTTACATTTGGTTGTTGGGCTTCACGTTTAGTCGAACACACCTTGATAACGTGAATGAATTGAGCTATCGATCTTAAAACTATTTAACTGGTTGACGTAAAGTATGCGTGATTGTTGAGTATCGCATTTCACATATGGATGAACATGTTATGATATCATGACGAATGTTAAGGTTGAAATTTTAAGAGTATGTAACTAATCATATTGTAAAACACATGATTATTAAGTTTCACATGTGGTTGAAACTGCTCTACATTTATTAGTCCTTACAAGTGACTAGTGCACATCCTTATCAGTTCTTACAAGAATTTTTAATTATTTTATTTAGACAACTCTGTACATCCTACACCCGAAATCAAGTCCACGGTGCCGGAGTGGACCCAATGTGTCATGGCCCACGGGAACAAGGCTACATATAGATTACCAATCAAATAAATGTCAATACACTTCTACGCACGTCAGACCAAACAATTTCACTGAAATGCTTCGGTGAATAATACGATAGTGGTTGAGAAAAAGCTAAAACGCCTGTGTAAATATTTCTGGTCTCCAAATGATGGATTGATGTGGTCGTGACCTGCTGGTCCCCTTCTGAAGAATTTTTTTTTGAATTATGCAACCTTGGTGCTTGAGTGAGTGCTTTGTTAACTCAGACAAATACAAAATCATTATAATTTTAAGAAAAATTAATAAAAATGATTTGAAAATTTTGAGTTTTAACGATAAGGACAAAATAAATGTTAAAGTGAATAGTAACATAATTGAATTTTTAGTATAAAAATGTGGTTTTTCGTTAAAATGAACAGCACCGAAGCTTTTCGTTAAAATTTCTTATATTTTAATCATAGAAACAATTAATTAGACCATAATCAGCTTCCCACATGATTCCATTTAGTTGGGGGTCCGTCGTCCTAAACACCTAATAAAGTAAAAGGGTTTGTTGCTTGGAAAAAGAACAAAAGAAGAACTAGCAATGGGAGATTTTTCAATGTGATCGGATACTACGTGTTATTACATAAATTATGAGATATATGTGTTAAAATGTTAATAATTTAAAAATAAAATTTTTCATCACTTACATAAAAACGAGTGATATATTATCCGTATTTCCGTCATAATAAAAAATTTCCCACTAGCAACGAGTTGGCATTCTCTCTCTTCATCAAATTTCTCTTTTTACTAAGAATTAAAGACCTGCTTGTGTTGGGTGGGTGATGAGGGTGGTACACTACAGACTCCATCAACCTCTAATGTAAAAGAAAATCCATTAAAAATCTTTCAAATTGGTTGGATTTATTGGAGAATAGGATATCACATTGGTCATATGACAAAATTATATACAATTAATATATGAGAGTTTTCAGTCCTAGTATCACCGAGACCTTCCGTGGTAAAACTCAATACATAATAATAGGTGGTGAAGTTGAGACAATATCGGTGATATTGGTGGTGGATCATGCTTAGGCCTATAAAGTTTCACATGGTACCAGAGCAAGCTATTTTTTCAACATGTCTTGGGCCTAATTTACTGAGCTCGAATTTGCCTCCTTAAGTTAGGATTACGAAAAGTTATGCTAGCTCAAACCTAACGATATTAAATAATTGGGCTTTGAAAAGTTGCTTTGCCCCTAGTACTTGAATGATGATTAGGCTCTCAAAAAGTTGCGTTAGCTCTGGTATAATGACTTAACTGGTTTCTGATGTAGGAATTGGTTTCCCTTGCGACCCTATGTAGTGTCACTCGTGAGGGCAGAGGGGGCATGTTGGAGAATATGATCCACATCAATTATATGACAAAATTTTATACAATTAATATTTAGAGTTTTTACACCTAATACTACTAAGGTTTTTTATGATAAAACTCAATACTAAATAATAGGTGGTTAAATTATCAGTGATACTAATAGCGGACAATGCATGGGCCTATGAAATTTCACAGGATTGATACCAAACTCATAACTGAAGTCGTTCAACGTTTATTGCTACACCGAGATTCATTTTACGTTTTTTTCGAGTCGTTCACAAACATGCGAACATAAATAACTTCCATCAAAAGCGACAATATTGAGGCTTAGTCACTAACTAATGGGTGATTCCAATGGTGCATAAAACGAATTTGATTCATGTGTGGTCAAAATGCTTGATAAGTGACCCACATGAGTAATGACTAATGATGGTTAAAACTTCAAAGTATCATGCGGATCTCGGCCGCTTGATAGTAATAATGTTTAAACCAAGAAATTGACTCTTAACATTTAAAAGTCAAAATGTATGTCATATGTTGTATTTTCTCTCAAAAGAATGTCCATGTCCATGAATGCCGGTTGCTTATTCTACGTAACTTTTTATTTTCGCTGACTCATGTTAATATGTTAAATTTAAAGTTTTAACTCGCAACTATAAAATATCGTCATGAAATAATGCATGACGATTTCTTTGAAATCGGAACCACAATTCCCTCGACAAAATTGCTAAAAGTACAAACTTATTTACCAATTAATTACAAACCCTAAGAACAGGATAAGGGGGTGTAGTCAAATAAGGATTTAGATAGATTTTAAAGGATTTTAAAAGACTTTAGAATCCAGGTGTAGTTAACTAGGATTTTAAAAGAATTTAAGAGAGTCCATTCAAATACAGATGTAGTCAACTAAAGGATTTTAGAATCCTGATGTAGTCAACTAGGATTTTAAAGGATTTTTATTGAGTCTATGCAAATCTATATGTATTAAAATTTGTATGGATTTTAAAGGATTTCATTGAATGAGTGATTTTGTAGGATTTGAGAAGAAATGGTAAGCTTGAAAAAGACCATAAAGAATCCTACATCTACCCCTAGGATTTCTTTCTAACCCCCTTCGATTTTTTTTTTCTCTCTCTCTCTCTCTCTCTCTTCACTCTACGGAGAGTGTATTCAATTGGGAATTTGAAGGATTTTAATTCTTTTAATGAATCTAGGCGTATTCAATCAAGATTTTAAGTGATTCTCTGAAATTCAAGGTGTATTCAATTAGAATTTTAAGATAGTTTATTTAAATCCTTAAAAATCCGGGTGTATTCAATTAGGATTTTAAATAAGTTTATAACGTTCTAGATGTATTAAATTAGAAATTGATTTTAAAGAATTTGAGAAAATTGAGGAATTAGAAGGAATTAGAGAGATTTCGTAGTGTATTTTAGCATTCACAAATCTCACCTCTCCCCAAGAGATTTCGAGGGAATTAGATCAAAATTTTATATGGAATCTCTAAAAATCAATTAAACTCCATAAAAATCCATGGATTTATAAATTCATTAAAGTCTCTTAAATTTTCAATTGAATACACCCCTACAACCGAGCTTTCTTTCTTACTCTCTTCCCATTTCATTGAAAATATTTGATCTTACCTGCTAATTATCCACTATGCAACCGAGATTCTTTCTCTCTTTTTCACTGAAATGGACAAAGGCAAATCAAATAATTTCAATGGATAGGGTAATAATTTCCACTCTGCAATCAAGCTTTCTTTCTTTCTCCACTCTGCAACCGAGATTCTTTCTCTCTTTTTGGAGGTGTATAACACACAAAGGCAAATCAAGCTAATTATCCACTGCATCCCTCCCTGACGAGGTAATCTACGCATTCATTGCTAATACTAAGATTGTTTTCCTCTTTACATAGGAGTAAACCTATTTACAGTGTTGGGAGAACTAAGCATTTTAAATTAAGGGTCAGGAGAACTTGGCATCCAGAAAACAGAAAGATTGGGAGAATGGGCATTTTACATTGGATGGCAAGGTATTTTAAATTAATGGGTGGAATTCGCCAGGGAGAATTGGGCATTGGGAAAACATGGAGGATAGGGAGAACTGGGTAAAGTTCTTAAATTTTTTTTTCAAGTTTATTTATTTATTTTTTAATCTTTATTTTCTATTTAAAAAATAATTCTTTAAATGACAAGAAATCTCTCAAAATCCATTCAAATTTTTAATCAAAATCCATAAATGCTTGAAAATCTATTTGAAAGTTGTAAGGATTCTACAATTATTTGAAATCTATTACTTAACAAAATCTTTTTAAATCCTATGAAATCCGAATTGATTATCCTTCCTAAAAACAAAATAAAATATCTAAAGCGGAATATATACTGTACATATTTCTATATATTTTCACTCCGCATCTCATATTTTCCATATTTACAATATTTACACCTATCAAAAAAATCGAGGGCAAACGAACGACGCCTCTACAATATTTACACCTATCTACACCTATCAAAAAAATCGAGGGCAAACGAACGACGCCTCTAAAATTGCGTGCAAATAGTTACCTCTGCCAGCAGAAATTAACCACGCCCAGTTATCCCATCTCTGTAAAACTGTAAACAGTAAAAGCCAGCCTTCTCACTCCTCCTCCATATATTTGCTTCTTTCTTCGTCCCACAAGGCCACAACCATTTCCCCATACTTTCTCTCTCCAAAGCCCTGTTGTTCTTACTATTTTTTCTTACGCTTTATCATTGTGCCGATCATTCCCACGTCTCCTCCTACCCTGACCCTTTCATCTCCTCTCAACCAGAAGCTCTCTGATACCGGAGAATTTCTGGGTTTGGGCGTACATGAGAGATTTTTCTGCAGTTCGTTCGGGGCAATTTCATAAATACCCAATTCCCCGGGGACGTCCGGAGTCGAAATTAGAACTTGTGCTGGGGGTTTTGGGTAAAAGTGAGAAAAAAAATGCCGAAAACGAGTCCGACTGGGCTGGACAAGCTCAAAGCTTCCAACTTGTTCGCATTCCCGGAAAAAACTGGCTACTATTTGGCCCTCTGCCTGCGCGTGGGCCTCCTCCTATGCCTCCTGGCGTCGATTTCACTCGCGCTCTTCTCCGCCTTCTACACCAAATCACACTGGTTACCCGTGCCGGACTTCGCCCCGACCGGAACCGACTTGGTGGCTCCTGGACCCGGACCCCAACCAGAACCCGGACCCAAACCAGAACCCACCAGCATCTCCCACATTCTCTTCGGCATCGGCGCCTCCCTCACCACGTGGCACGACCGGAGCCGGTCAGGGGAACTCTGGTGGGACCCCAGCACAACCCGCGGTTTCGTATGGCTGGAGGCGAAACCCGAAAAAGAAACGGACTTCTCCGGTTCGATTCCGTACCGAGTGTCGGAGGACTGGACCCGCTTCAGGTACTCGAGTTCGCAATCGGCGGTTCGTATCGCGCGGATTGTGTACGAGAGCTTTAAAGTCGGGCTGCCCAACGTGCGGTGGTTCGTGATGGGGGACGACGACACGGTGTTTTTCACCGAGAACCTGGTTTCGGTGCTGGCGAGTTACGACCACGACCGGATGTACTACATTGGCGGGAACTCGGAGAGCGTGGAGCAGGACGTGATGCACGCGTACGACATGGCGTTTGGCGGCGGCGGGTTCGCGATCAGCTACCCGCTCGCGGCGCGGCTGGTCGAAATGATGGACGGCTGTCTGGAGAGGTACTACAATTTCTACGGTTCCGATCAGCGGGTGTGGGCCTGCGTCAGCGAGATGGGTGTGCCGCTCACTAAACACGGTGGGTTCCACCAGGTACGTCGATACTTTTCTTGCTTTGTTTTTTGGTTACACGTAGCGGCGTTTGGTTGTTTTACTTAGCAGCTAGGGGAAAGGGTGGCGGAATACGGAGGTGGTGGGTCAACAGTTTTTGGTTTTGTTCGTGACGCATTTTTAACGGCAAATGTGGGCGGGTCATTGGGTTCGCGCCACGTGTGTGGAGTAGAGGACGGGGTTTTGAAATTTGTGCTGGAGGACCAAATGGTGAGCTGCCACCTAACCTCGTCAATCATAATACAAAAATGGTTTGAATTAATTGACTCAAGAGTCGAGTCAATTTTTTCGGAAAATTTGAAATGATTAGAGCTGATTTTTATTGGTGAAGCAATAATTCTCTTTGTATTTAGAAAGACTAAAACCCTACGTTAAAAATTAACAACAAAAACGCAGAAAAATTTATTGTTAGTAAACGTCACGACACACGCCTGATTTTAATTTATTTATATCTTCATATAGCTTATTCGTATAAAAAATCGTACTAGACACGATTGACTCGAAACTCGAAACGTACTAGGTTTAGAAAGGTGTAAATTTTCTTATTGTTCCTAAACTATATCATTGTTTATATTAAGGTCCTAAACTATATTATTGTTTACTTTAAGGTCCTAAACTATATTATTGTTTATTTTAAGGTCCTAAAGAATATTATTATTATCATGACACGTGGCAAAGCATGCCTGCAATGCGATGTTACTGTTGGTAGGTTTTATAGTTACTCTGTATGAATAATATTTGATTTTAAAGGGAAGAGATCTTTTCATCAAATGATTCAGACTTTAAAATTTTCATTTAACAATAAAAAATTATTATAATTTTTAAAAGATCAGTACTTACAAATCGTTAGATGAAATTTTAAGGATTTGAATCACATGATTAAATCTCCAAATCTCATTGACGAAAGAGATCCGGACGATTTTAAAAAGCTGCATGCATGTGTTTGGACTGTCGTGTCTCATAGCAAAAAGTTGAATACGTGTCCTTGAATTTGCATTTTTTTTTTCTTCACAGGATTACTTTAATGAATATTCTTTTAATTGATTGTGACAAAGATTAGCGTTGGTGGCCTAAATCTCTCTCCTCTGTCTTTAAGCAAGCAGTTGCCTTTGATAGACTTGGAATATGTACCGTTTACCACACCTGTTTTGTGGCGTTTATGGCGCCATGCTATTGGAAAAAGTTTGGTAGCTATGCTCCCACCTGCCAGGTGTAAAGTGTGCCAGATTGAGGAAATTTCGTAGTTTTACACACCCATATCTTATACCAGTCTCGTACCATCGCACTAGGGTTTAGATTTTTCAATGTGATTTTAGATTTTTCAATGTGATTGGTATACGAAATGGTACATTACGTGTTATTAAACAAATGAAGAAATATGTGTGTTAAAATGTTAATAACTTAAAAAATAAAATTTCCCACCATTTCTATTAAAACATATGGTGTACCACTTGTATTATCGTCTCTGCATTAGCACGTGAAAAAAGTAAAAAATTTATGTAGGTTTGAAATAGAGATAATCGTATATTTGATATGTGTAAGTTTATCTCATAAGACACTGACCGTAACAAGGAAGTTAATCGTTCGTACATGTGATACTGACTGTGTGAAATGTTTTGGAGGTTTCTTTGGTGGCTCCGGTGAAAATAACGGGTCATCTTTGTCCTTGCGTACTACTCACGTTACCAAGTTTGACTCAAAAATCCTTCGTCCATAGATCATGGGCATGATCTCGTACCATTTAAATTCCTCCAACCATTTACGCAAGATGGTTGGTGGGTGAGTCTTTGATAAGGCTGTAGTAGCTTTCACCAGCATAATTTTATGGTCGAAATTGAGGTTGTTAGGTTTTAAGAAACCCATCTTGTATGGAACGTATAGTGAAATACGGTTATTTGGTCTAATAATGCTCGGTGACAATACATTGTTCCGTCAATATTTTGTCACTAAAAAATCTTACTGGATTTTTTTGTTGACCATAGAATATGAATGTGACCCGTTTGGTATTTTGTAATTTTTCAGTACGACATCAGAGGGGACCCCTATGGTGTCTTAGCAGCGCACCCATTGGCACCACTTGTGTCACTTCACCATCTGGACTCCATGAAACCCATGTTCCCAGACCAGACCCATTTAGACTCACTCAAATCCCTTCTTCGTGCATACCGGGTCGACCCGGGCCGGATCCTACAACAGAGCTTTTGCTACGATCACCGGCGTAAATGGTCAATGTCCGTTTCATGGGGCTATACCATTCAGCTTTACCCGTCATTGATCGGAGCTATGGATCTTCAGATGCCGTTGCAGACGTTCAAGACGTGGAGGAGCTGGAGTAATGGACCTTTCACGTTCAATACCCGACCCGTGAGTTCCGACCCGTGTCAGCAGCCCATCATTTACTTCTTGGAGCAGGTTGTTGTCGGCAAGAGTGGGATTGTGACTATTTACAAGAGGTTTATGGCCAATGAGGGGAACCAATGTAAGAAAAAAGAGTATGCCCATGCAATGGCAGTGCAGAGGATTGTAGTCTCCTCAGAGAAGATGGACCCTCACTATTGGACAAAGGTAAACCCTAACTCTTTTCACAAATGAGTATTCCTTTTTCATACATATGGGTCCTACGTATGTGTTGAGTGTTACACAAGGAAAGCTTCTTTGCATTAGGACGTCGTTGTGACAGTATCATAAGTCAATTACGTATAATGCGTTTTAGTACGATGTGATTAGCTTATAATACTGGCCTAATCGTATAGCACATTGGATTAGTGCATGTCTTTTGAGCTTAATTTAGTGGCCTAATTAAAGGTTGTATTTTTTGTAGGAAGAGGCTCCACGAAGACAGTGCTGTGAGATTAAGAACCGAGGAAGCATAAAGAATGGAGGCATGGGGCTTAGAATTAGGGCATGCAAACCCAAGGAGTCAATTACTATGTAGATGTTTAGGAAATTATGCAATGCGGCACTATAGAGGCCACTTTTTTGGTTTGGGGCCCCCGGGGGTGGGAGGGGTCCTTATTAGCGTACTACTCATATAGATCCATTCAGCCTGTCCACTTATGTAACTACTCAAGCAATAATACGAAGGCTTAGATTAGTTCACACATATAACGCAAAATTATTGCGTACTAATAAAATGCAGTCACTTGATATACTTAGTCTACTTGTGCTTAACAAAGGATAAACGACATATCTGATATATCCAACAGACTCATAATTTGCACAATAATTAGTCGACGACTTTGTGTCATTTTTCTCTTTCCTTATACGTGCGAGTGATGTGTCAATTTTTCAAAGTTTGATGGGGGTGGCTTTTTAGTTTCAGTGGTGGTAGAGGAAGCACTAGGCTCATATCAACAAGAGTTAAAATTGCACTTGCAACTTGACCAATTGTAGCGAGACACACCAAATGGCCTGAAAGCAGCCGCACTAGCAAATGAAGAAGGGTACGATAAATCCACAACTTTCCCATCCACTCCAAAACTCATTGCATTTGCCTACTCAAAGGGTGAAAAATAAAGAAAAAAATTGAAAAGGAAAGGTTGAAAGCATATTTGGTGGTTTTGAAAGGTCTACGGACAAAGCAACCAAAAAAGGAGGGAAAGGGAAAGGTAAAAAGGCAGTGGAGCTATTATGACTGAGGGAAAGTTTACAATTTGTAATGATAGGAGGTTGATTAAGTACTAATGGGGAATTAATATATTCAAAGCAAAACAGACTGGAATTGATCAAACGTTGTGGATCAGTCGAATATCATCACTACACTAAGCACATTGGGTTAACATGTTTAATGTGGTTTGCTATTTGCTAATCTCTCAGTGGAGCTAATCTATTTGGATAAAAACGATGAGTTAAGACGCAAAAGCATAATATGATGATCTCATTGAACAAATTAAGCGATAAATTAAGACGTAATACCTGGTGAAAGCTGAGGCCAATAATGGTCTACTTGTCCATGGAGTCTGGAGAAACAATGAACAGATAAGAGTTCAGCGGACTGATCACCTAAGCCTCCGACAATGGTCATTAACACACAACCGAAATTTCAGTGAATGTAATAGGCAATACCAGGTAAAACGTACAGAAAAAGAAACGATACAAGTGTTTATTTTAGATTGTACCTGGCTGGAACTAGTTGTGGGCGCTCATGTATACATCTGAAAAAATGGAAGGGACAATTACTTACATACCATACATGTATACATCTATTAATTGCAGAGCAAGGTTTTGCGTATTGGATTTCCAGTTGTCGGATTCACCCTGTTAACACAACAGCTGCTTGTAAAATGGAGCAGATTTGTGAAGATAAATGCATAGATATAAAGTATCTTTTACTCAGATCGGAGTAAATGGTAAACCTAGAGATGAAATCCCCTAGTGGAAAGTGTTAAGTCAAGCTATTAACAATGTTAGCATTAAGCAAATTTCTACATACCTGCACCCGTGACATTTATTTCACCCTTTGAAATATGTGTTGCCTGTGGCAACTGCACCTTCCAAGCTAGCGTTGCTCAGATTTGCCTGCAGAAGTGGTACATGTGCGAGTGAGAAGTTCGAACTTAGAACATTAGGATACAAATTTCTACACTTTTTTTCCTTGGAACATTTGAACTTTGTGGCCAAGGGACGAGGAAGTAACTACACTCGGGGGTGAAAACTAACAAAACCTTCATAAATGGGAAATCTTGATCAATATAAGGTTTGGCTGAACTGGTAGAGAAAAACAGTTTCCATTAATGAATCTGAAGTTTAGCCTTGTCACATAGACTGACATGTTTAGCTATTTTGTACAAATTATACCTCAAGATACTTCTGTTAACTTGATCAGTATGATCTACCGATTACATTCTCAGCGCATCTCCAAGACAACAATAAGTATCATGGCACTAAGTGACCACGGATTAACGAAGAATGGTGAACCTGCTAGCTTGAAGGGCAAGGATTTAGAGGTCCCCTAGTCATGTTCATCATTTACATAGAACATGGATACTCGTGTCATAAGTAAACCAGAGCCTGATCTAAAAAAAACCCGATCAAGCATGAAACTTCTTCCATAATATCATCAAAAAGGACAACACCGCAGGAGTTTCCAACTGAAAATTTGCTCAAGGCGTGGTAGGTGTCCCATAAGTCCCGGAAATGGGAGCTTCGGACACATTGTCCACACATATTAGTATGTTACTGCAATTCCAGTCTATCCCTCTATCTGCAATTTTCACCATTTACCAACGAAACTGACAGCGGAGCATCTAAATTAGGATTCTTATTAATCAGAATGTAAATTAAATGTTCCATCAAACTTCACCTTTGTCACATTGGCCAAGGAAAAGTCCACAGCTCTTAGATCTGCATCAGAAAGATCAGCCCCAGGAGAAACAATATCAGAGTAAATAAAACAACGAATAAACCACGGTCTTTTTCTGCATATCAGATACATAAAAATCCGCGATTCGAACCAACGCATATATGAAACATTCCTTCTTCCTTGTCCTTCCTAAACATTTGCAACACGTACCAACGTCAATCGAAGATTACAGCATTTGTGATAATAAATTATTCAAAACAAATGTACCTGTTAAATCAGCATCAAAGAAGCTAGCACCTAATAACTTGGCGCCTTTGAAATTCGCTTGCCTCAATATCGACTGCAACAAAATCAACACACAAAAATTCAAAATCTTCGAATGCAATAAACATCAAACACTCAGCATTTCACAAAATCGATTGATTTTGGATCGTTTTGAAGTCTTGCTTGATCAAGGTCTTGCCGCTAAAGCCCTTGCCAGTGAGGTCCTGGCCCCTAGTCACCTCCGAACCGTACGGACCTCCACGCTTTCATCAACAACGAGACGATATTTAAGCACATTGATTTATTTCCCGTCACTTTCTTGGGAACCAAACAGAATACTGGCATTCAGGATTGAAGCTTTTGTTGTGTTTGGCTCATATATTTATGAGTTGGCAACAATTTGTAAGTGTAACTTTGTGAATGCTACAAGGAAATGCAGCAGCCATTTGTGACTTTGTGTTTTGCTTTCGGTTGTGGCATGGAAGTCTTCGTTCAAGGGAAGACATTGTGACAGCCACAAGCAGCGTTGGAAGCAGGAGCAGGTCTTGACTTTGTGGGATTGCATGCAATTGAGCATTCTTTCTTTTATATGCATTAAATGGCAGATGGAGAAAAGGGTTGCACTCTATATATAGGCTAGGTACTGTTGAGAGTTGTCCCACATCGGTAGGGAACAAGGTTTGCTATGTGCTTATATGTTCTTGGGCTACTTCCCATATTGTCAATTGGTTTTATGGTGAAATTGACCTCAATTTCATCATGGTATCAGAACGGGTTGTCCTAGTGTGAAGCCAAACGGCCACACGCACTCCACGCTACCTAGTTGTTGTCCACGTGTAGGCTTGAAAATCTGCTACACGTGCGGAGGCGTGTTGAGAGTTGTCCCATATCGGTAAGGGACAAGGTTTGCTATATGCTTATATGGTTTTGGGTTACTCCCTGTATTGTCAATTGGTTTTACGGTGGAATTTCAAATTAGGTATGCCAATGAGTGTTGAATATATGCCATGTGAACTCAAGACTTTTGGTCTTGGTGGTTGGCATAATTGCTGGTGTATGCCTATAAGTGTAGGCAGTAGTCTTGCATTGGGATATGCTTGCCGAGGGAGAAGGCTTGCATCAGGAAAGCATCCAAAGAGATGGTGAGAGCATTTGGCTCTACCATGGGCACGGGTGAGAGAAAATCAAGAGAGCTAGGTGAAAAGTATTGAACTCTTAGGGGTAGAATGAGGTTCTTGGGAAAATTCTGTGAGTGGATGTACAAGCGATTTGAGATTGAGTTATGTCGATTTAACTCATGTGTAACTTGTAGTGTTATTCTCATAGTGAAAAGTAACATTTTTCCGGGACGTATGCAGATTTTTGCCGAACTTCGTAAATTTTTGGATGTCTTTATTTCTTGTATTTTATTCTGTTGGGTATATATCTTGGTGAGGTAATCTGAATCTTGTTTCCGCACTAACCGGGCCAAGGCACAACAGCTTTACCTTAAAGGCGAGTGCAGGATCGGCTACGAACACAGAAGCGGAGAGCAGAGCGATCAGGCTCGCCTTGCAAACGGACTCTCCCAGCGACAATGAGAGCTTCCAGAAGCTTTGAGGCGATTGTTTACTACCTGCGAAAGAAATTTGAAAAGTGAGAAATCATCAGAGCGAATTGGCTAACGTACGCGAGGTGTGCGCAGTGCGCAATATGCTGAAATGAATAAGAGAAAGGGGACGAAGGGCGGACGGAAGGAGGAGACGAGGTGCTCAGTGTACCTGGGGCGCAGGATAGCCGGCGGAGAGATGGAGGTGTTGGCGGGAAGGGTGAGGTTTGTTGGGGAGAGATGGAGGGTTTTGGTGGGAGCTCGGAAGAGCACGTGGAGACGTTGAGAAGCGCCATTGCGAATTTTCAGTCGGAATTTTTGTTCGTTCACTTTTGTGTCAGCGGATAACGGTAAGATCTGAATTTGGATATATGGGGCCGGGGTTCTGTAAACTTGCTCACACCTATGAGTGAGATCCCCAAATCTTGCGATTTGAATTTTGAAATATAGTTTTTATCTATAAATATACAACGACACTGGACTCGGACTAAAGCACACAATGATTGAGTTATTAGGTATCGACTTGCCAATTAGGTACGATGAATGTAAAACATTGTACTAATAAGTAAAGATGAATATCATATTGTAATAACAAGTCTTATTTGTATGTTTGTTAAAGATAACCATTTATATTCAGTTTTTCTATAACTTCGAGTAAGCAAATTTTGTGATAACACGCATTTTGTCTTAGTTGTATGGTGAGTGCGGTTATGTTTGCATCAATTTTAATATTGCAAAATTACAACTCAATCAATTTACGTTAAATGGTGCAATGCGATTTAGTTTAAGCTAAACGAAAAAAAGAAGCCAAATAAAACCTCATACTTATAATCTCATGAAGTGAAACTCATCAACCTAAGAATGTTAACTATTTTTAACCACGTATAAGGTCAATATTGCATATGCTATTCCACCAAAGTAACAAAGTACCAATCTTATATTATATTAAAGGTTGATATCATTGTGTCTCTTTCTTTTAAAAAGGGGACAACTGATGATAAGTCATTATTATCCATCATTTTTGGGGGTCGAGAAGACTCACATAGACATTTCAGCCTCTCTCTGGCCATATGTCTGACTTCCACACAAGCAGCAGGTTTCAAACCCGAGACCTCGGATTTTTAGTTTGAATGAAGCCTCGCAATCCGTCCTTTATCACTAAACCACCGGCTTGTGATTGATATCAATGTGTTAAATGAAACATAATAGTAAATAGTGATATGTATTATCAAGATATATATTTACAATAATTTAACGAGAATTGATCTTAATATCTCTCGCTTACTGCTCTGGTCAAAAGGTCAATGCTAATTGACACCAAGATATTATTATTATTATTAAAACACAAAGATCCTTGTTTACTGCCGGTATACTTTCTTCTTCTTCTTCCTTTCATTTTTTTCTTCCCATAGATCCTTGGTCGGATTCCTCGCTCTTCCATTTTTCCAAGCAAGGTAAATTCTTCTCTCTCACATAACTTCACTCGCATGGAATCTGCTTCGCATTTGCAATTTTTATTTTTTTTTATTTTTCTGATATTAATGGATCGCACGGTCCACTGGATCTGTTACCAGAGAACGGAGCGGTTGAACCCGAAGCTTGCAGTTGGGCTTGAACCGGAGGGGGAGAGGAAGGAACCGGATTTGGGAGGTGTCAGGCTTGGGATCGCAGGCGAGGTTGAAAGCAGGACTGCTTGGTAAGTAGCCAAACGAAAATTTGGAATTTGAATTGTTAGTCTCGGCCAAACCAGATGCTCGGAGCACATTTGGCGTCCGAAGTTCGGATTCGGCATTTGAAGGGCCAATGTCGAGATCAATGGAACCAAACAGAGCCAATTTTGGTTCACTTTTTCTTGGGGCGAGCTGTTTAGTGTTGTTTTAGGTTTTAAGTTGTTTAGAATCAAATCTTTAGTTTTCGAAAGGAAATTGAATGCGTAATTCTCCGTTGCGTGAAAGTTTTAGGTTTTAAGTTGGAATTTATGTATGAAGTTTAACCTACATTTTTATTAGTGAAGGTAGTGTAGGTTTTTTGAGTTATTTCTAGTGTGTTTAGATGGTGTGTGTACTTGTAAAGACATTTAAATTATAGAGCGAGACGGGAAGTTATGGTTGTTGAAAATTAGTGGGAGTGGTTATGGTAGTCTAAATGTCTGCATATGATATGATTACGATTGTCTTGAATTATGCCTCTCGATTAATTGTTATACTTCAGTTAGCTTACTTGGTATGTTGAATTTCAACTAGGTATGTGTTGCCTATGCTTCTTTGCCTTCTCTATATAGAAGCTGGTAAATACAGCTAGAACTTGGGTTCTGTTCAAAAGAATATTGTTCAGAGATGGGGCGTCTAAAGCTGCAAACTGGGATCAAGGCAATTGAGGAAGAACCCGAGGACTGTGAGGCAACCAATTCAAATAAAGCTACATTGGCATGCATCATCAATTCAGAAATAGGTTCTGTATTAGCGGTTATGAGGAGGAATGTAAGATGGGGCAGTCGTTATATATCCGGTGATGATCAGCTGGAACACTCTTTAATCCAGTCTTTAAAGGCATTGCGCAAGCAAATTTTTTCATGGCAGCATCAGTGGCATACCATTAATCCTGTTGTGTATCTCCAGCCATTTTTGGATGTGATTAGATCTGATGAAACTGGTGCACCAATCACTGGTGTTGCTTTGTCATCTGTTTATAATATCTTAACACTTGATGTGATTGATCAAAATTCCGTAAATGTTGAAGATGCCATGAACTTGTTAGTTGATGCCATCACTAGTTGTCGATTTGAGGTCACCGATCCTGCATCAGAGGAAGTGGTACTGATGAAGATACTACAGGTTCTTCTGGCTTGCATGAAGAGTAAAGCATCTGTTATGTTGAGTAACCAGCATGTTTGCACTATAGTGAATACATGTTTTCGTATAGTTCATCAAGCAGGAACAAAATGCGAGTTGTTGCAACGGATAGCTCGCCACACAATGCATGAACTTGTTAGATGTATTTTCTCACACCTTCCTGATGTTCACGACACTGAACGTGCACTGTTAAATGGAAGTGCTACAAGAAAACAAGAGGTACTGTGACTATCAAAGTTTACATGCATTAGGTCTTAGCCTAGATGTGATCTGTTGATTATGTAGTGTAAACTTATTAGTTGATACACAAGCATCCAATGTCAAGAACTTGTTTGTGAATATGTGATGGTTTTTTCTTGTGCAGATTGCCGGGCTAAATAATGAGTATGCTTTTGGGAGTAGACAATTGGAGAATGGCAATGTGAGTTCTGGGTATGATAGTCAACCATTATCCACAAGTCCTGCCTCAAATGCTTCTTCAGGCCTGGTAGCACCTCGGATTGATGAAAGTGTACTCACGGTTTCTACTGAGAAGGAGGCTGTTCAATATGATTTGCATCTCATGACTGAGCCATATGGGGTACCCTGCATGGTGGAAATATTTCACTTTCTTTGCTCTTTGTTAAATGTTTCTGAGCATATGGGAATGGGATCCAGATCTAATACCATAACATTTGATGAAGATGTGCCTCTTTTTGCCTTGGTTATGATTAATTCAGCTATAGAGTTGGGTGGATCCCACATTCAGAATCATCCCAAGTTATTGAGTTTAGTTCAGGATGAATTGTTTCGAAATCTTATGCAGTTTGGTTTGTCAACGAGTCCACTTATTCTTTCAATGGTATGCAGCATTGTTCTTAATTTATACCACCATTTGCGCACTGAACTTAAACTACAGCTTGAGGCCTTCTTTTCTTGTGTGATTTTGAGGCTTGCACAAAGTAAATATGGAGCTTCTTATCAGCAGCAGGAGGTTGCTATGGAGGTTCTTGTTGACTTCTGCAGGCAGAAAAATTTCATGGTGGAGATGTATGCTAACTTAGATTGTGACATAACATGCAGCAATGTCTTTGAAGAACTTGCTAATCTGTTGTCAAAGAGTGCATTCCCTGTCAATTGCCCTTT